AACTAAAACCAGGTGTAATTACAGGCAACAACCGACCGTTAAATCTAGCACTACTCTTTGCCCCGGGAGATCGAATTCTGTGCCCAGTGAATCACGAACAGACCCTATATCACAAAGGGGTTAAGCTGAGAATATTTCTGAGTGTGCTGGGGAGGGGGGGGGGGAAATTGCGCATGTTTCATCCTGTTACGCTGCAGATTACTCAATAAGCCGCCCTTCTTAGGTACGGTAAATTGCGCAGGTTTTGGAGTGTGGTATCGACTACGAGGTAGCTGTGGTTGAATCAGAACCCTGACCTCGACCATGTTTAGCTGATTGAGTGTTCGCTGAAAACCGTTCTAGTATTTGACCTCTCTACCAGGCTGGGTGTCCTAGGGGGTACATTATTGTTTAGCTGAAAATAGTCCGGTGAGTTTGTCTCAGAAGAACCATAAAATAAGAAACTCTATAGGCGACCTTGTGTAAATAGATGTGTATGCCCGATGCAATTTTTGTCGCGCTAAAAATGAAACTTTAAATGGAGGTTTTCATGACAGAAAAAAAGATGAAAAGGGCTCTTTCACAGATGTTTTCACAACAGACTGGCAGAAGTTTGCACGATAAGCACACGGCTGATCTGCACAAGAACGGAAGAGAACTACTATTTAAACTTACACGAAAATAATTTCAAGTCAGTACCATGTCGAATATCTGCGCCACCTAAGAGATACTCAATACTTAAAACTCTTTCACAATTTTCCAACAGGTTTTAGAAAAGTCCTTCGAATTTTTTGACAATGGGATTAAAAACCTGCGCAATTTAGCGCTGTCGGCTAGGGTGTGTTGGGGTAAGACTAGTTGTAAAGCACGGAGAGTGTGTTGTAAAGCAGGGATGTGGGTTGTAAAAATGAAAATATTGTTATTACTATTGATGTCAGTATTAATATTATTATTATTATTATTGTTATTTTTATTATTATTATTATTATTATTATTATTATTATCATCATTATTATCATTTTTATCGTCATTGAGGGGGTTCTTGTTGACCTTGAACTTGCCACAATATCTCCACATTGTCGCCGTCACTTATCGTTGTCGTGTGTCAAAACCCGAGGTTTTGTAGAGAAAGAAGAAACGGTTGTACAGTGGAGTCTGCTGAAAGCATAGATGTATGTTGCTCTAAGAGTATGTATCTATATATATATAACTCCAAAGGTCTGGTAATGAAATTCCTGCATGTGGTTGAAGGGTGCATCTGATGGTATGCTCGTGTGTTTAGTCTTGTGTTTGCTTGTACAGATAAGATGGGAGAAAATTGTTTGTTTTTATCATTACTGTTTGCCCACTGATATTGCAATGGAAATAAATCTTTGTGCTATATAATAGTTTTGTTTTTTGCCACTTTAACAAAAAAATATATCCACGTTTTATTTCTAAAGTTTTGCTCTTGTGTTTGTCTGCTCTCATAATGGAAATGATGATTTCTGGGCAGATGGAACGGAGAGTCAGCTCTTATTCAACTAATACATCATTGTCATCACAATCATCACCATCGTCATCATCATCATTATCATATAAACACCAAGTCTCATGAGACAGTGACGTGACGTCATAACTCGCTGATAGCACATGTCTCTATAGTGGGTGGTTGGCAGGTGCTCTGGTGTGGTTTGCTTCTTCTTTCCTACCGAACATCTATCGTCCTTATCTCCCCTTCTTCTTTTTTATGTTTGTTACTCTCTTGTAACACCTCTAATCTTCTGGCGCTCATATGACCTTATTCAGTTGGGAGTGCCGTAAAACTAAAACTAAAACAAGTCTCTATTGGCATACAAGATTTCGACGTGACGTCATGCCTTGCCAGGCAAAATGTTATTGAGAACTTTCTGTTTTTACTGAAGTCTTTGTGTTTTTACACCTTCATCGACACAATTTAGGTCATTTAGGAGGCGGGCTTCCGACCCTGCCTGTCAGGACCAACCCGGGCTGTAAGGGATATACATATACATATACATATACATATACATATACATATACATATACAGGGATGCCAAATCTCTGGTTTTTCCTGTTTTTTCCCACACTTGCAAAGGAAAGGGGAATGGTAAGAGAAATGTTTTTGTTTGCTCATTGAAAGATTTGACAAAGTACGTTTTAGGTGAGATGTGATGCTCCGCTCATTTTCAGTTGTTTTTTTTTCAAAAATCATTTGCCATCCCTGTATATAACACCTCAGTAGAAAGACCGTGATCCCCGAGAGGCCACCTGTATTCTCACCCCGGGTGAGATTAACCCATGTCTCGCTATTCTCACCCTGGGTGAGAGTAACCCATGTCTCGCTATTCTCACCCCGGGTGAAAATAACCCATGTCTCGCTATTCTCACCACCACCCCCCCACCCCGGGAGAGAATGCCTCCTT